GCAATTAAGGTCACAGTTATGAAAAGTTAGGACACTAAAGAGGCCTTTCTACTGACTCTCAAAAACACCAAAAGAAAGATGCCCATGGTCCCTGCTCATCTGCATGAACGTGCCTTAGGCATGCTGCAAGGACGCATGAGGAATGCAAATGTGGCCAGGGCAATAAATTGCAATGTCCGTACTGTGAGACGCCTAAGACAGCGCTACAGGGAGACAGGACGGACAGCTGATCGTCCTCGCAGTGGCAGACCACGTGTAACAGCACCTGCACAGGTACATCCGAACATCACACCTGCGGGACAGGTACAGGATGGCAACAACAACTGCCCGAGTTACACCAGGAACGCACAATCCCTCCATCAGTGCTCAGACTGTCCGCAATAGGCTGAGAGAGGCTGGACTGAGGGCTTGTAGGCCTGTTGTAAGGCAGGTCCTCACCAGACATCACTGGCAACAACGTCGCCTATGGGCACAAACCCACCGTTGCTGGACTAGACAGGACTGGCAAAAAGTGCTCTTCACGACGAGTCGCGGTTTTGTCTCACCAGGGGTGATGGTCGGATCCGCGTTTATCGTTGAAGGAATGAACGTTACACCGAGGCCTGTACTCTGGAGCGGGATCGATTTGGAGGTGGAGGGTCCGTCATGGTCTGGGGCGGTGTGTCACAGCATCATCGGACTGAGCTTGTTGTCATTGCAGGCAATCTCAACGCTGTGTGTTACAGGGAAGATATCCTCCTCCCTCATGTGGTACCCTTCCTGCAGGCTCATCCTGACATGACCCTCCAGCATGACAATGCCACCAGCCATACTGCTCGTTCTATGCGTGATTTCCTGCAAGACAGGAATGTCAGTGTTCTGCCATGGCCAGCGAAGAGCCCGGATCTCAATCCCATTGAGCACGTCTGGGACCGGTTGGAATCGGAGGGTGAGGGCTAGGGCCATTCCCCCCAGAAGTACTTAACAGTCCACAAGTAAGCCTTAACATTCCACAAGTAAGCCTTAACAGTCCACAAGTAAGCCTTAACAGCCAATAGGCCCATAGAGTCGTTGTATTAATGGAGTTTACGGAGCTCGCAGTCATAGACTGAATTGTAAACCAATTTACAATCATAGATTGTCATCAAATAGTACAATCCTAAAATAGCTCAATAATTGTAATACTATATGAAAAATACAATGTATGCAATACAATAATCCTAAAACTACAATATTTGGTATGGAAGATTTACAAACATTTGCTGTGATACTGACTTCTTAGCTACTTGCTGCTGCTTTCTTGGTCAGGTCTCCTTTGTAAAAAACATTATATATCTCAATGGGACTTTCCTGGTTAAATAAAAGGTTAAATAAAATGAAAATAAATAAAGGTAGACCGACCTGACACTGGGCATAGAGGAACAGAGCTTCCTGGTCCTCTGGGGGTTAGAGAGCTCGACCTGAGCCTCGGCGTTGCTGACAGGGACAGACAGGCAGGACATGGACAGGCCTCCCACTGAGAGGTGGTCTCCCAACTGGGACAGATGCTGATCCTCTGGGTAACCACTCTTCACTTCTGACTCGACTTCTGAGTCAGCTCCTATCTGGAAGATCACCTTGGTCCTTGGTTCAGGCTCCCCTGTGTCCTGGCCTCCCTCCTCCATGTTTACCTGAAGAAGAAGAAGAAGAAGAAGAAGAAGAAGAAGAAGAAGAAGAAGAAGAAGAAGAAGAAGAAGAAGAAGAAGAAGAAGAAGATTGTATTCATCTATACGGCACTTAAATGTATATTCTGCTGTACCCAACCCCTCCAATACACACACACACAAACACACCTTGGTCCTGGGTTCAGTCTCTTCTGTGTCCTGGCCTCCCTCCTCCATGTTTACCTTAGAAGAAGAAGAAGAAGAAGAAGAAGAAGAAGAAGAAGAAGAAGAAGAAGAAGAAGAGAAGAAGAGAAGAAGAAGATTGTATTCATCTATACGGCACTAAATGTATATTCTGCTGTACCCAACCCCTCCAATACACACACACACACAACACACCTTGGTCATGGGTTCAGTCTCCTTCTTGTCCCTGGCCTCCCCCCTCCTCCATGTTTACCTTAAGAAGAAGAAAAGAAGAAGAAAAGAATAAGAAGACGAAGACGAAGACGCAGAAGAAGAAGAAGAAGAAGAAGAATAAGAAAGAAGAAGAAGAAAGAAGAAGAAGAGAAGATGTATTCATCTATCGGCACCTTAAATTTTATATTCTGCTGTACCCAACCCCTCCATACATCACACAACAACACAACACACCTTGTCCTGGGTTCGATCTCTTCTGTGTCCTGGGTTCAGTCTCTTCTGTGTCCTGGCCTCCCTCCTCCATGTAGGGGACATAGGGGACGGACTCTGGGGCGATGTTCTGCAGCCAGTTCTCTACGTACTGGTGTACCCCAGAGGGGGCTGGAGGGGGGTGCAAGACAGGCATGGAGAAGCTCTCACTCAGCAGAGTCTGTTTGGGGGATTTGGTTCTGTCCTCGTTAGACATGGACCTCTGCTTGGCCAAGGTCTTTCTGGTTGGCTGGCTGGCCATCTTTCGAACCGTCGGTCTGACTGTCTGTCCGGTGTCTGTCTGTCTGGCTGGGGAAACAGAAAACACGTTCTTCCTCGGCTGTGTCTTCTGCCTGGAAGACTTAGTGGTGTGGACCTTCTGGGATCTTTGCCCTCTTCCGACCTTCTCACCCATATTCAGCTGTTTTTCAGAAGCTAACCCCCGTTTTTCAGAATCTTTCACGTCTATGTTTAACGCCAAGGTCCCATTCTTCACAGGGATATTTTTGGTACTCCTAACAGACCCTGCCACACTGTCCTTCTGTCTGCTCTTTGAGCTCGTAGTGGACGTTGGACTCATCTGCTTCCCTTTCGTCTTCACTGTCCTCTTCTCCTTGTTCTCTTCAAGAACATCCTCCTCAGCCTCCTCCTCCTTCTTCGCTACTGTCTCGGAACATTCCAGTTCCTTTCTCTCTGAACATCCTAATTCCTTTGTCTCGGAACATTCCAATTCATTTGTCTCGGAACATTCCAATTCCTTTGTCTCGGAACATTCCAATTCCTTTGTCTCGGAACATTCCAATTCCTTTGTCTCTGAACATTCCAATTCCTTTGTCTCTGAACATTCCAATTCATTTGTCTCGGAACATTCCAATTCCTTTGTCTCGGAACATTCCAATTCCTTTGTCTCGGAACATTCCAATTCCTTCGTCTCGGAACATTCCAATTCCTTCGTCTCGGAACATTCCAATTCCTTTGTCTCGAAACATTCCAATTCCTTTGTCTCGGAACATTCCAATTCCTTTGTCTCGGAACATTCCAATTCCTTTTTCTCTGAACATTCCAATTCCTTTGTCTCGAAACATTCCAATTCCTTTGTCTCGGAACATTCCAATTCCTTTGTCTCGGAACATTCCAATTCCTTTGTCTCGGAACATTCCAATTCCTTTGTCTCGGAACATTCCAATTCCTTTGGGCATTCTGTCTCTTTAGGAGAGGACCACGTGTGAGACTCTGACGCGGCTTGAGCTTCGATGTCTGGGAAAGACGACTGTTTGTTGCTGAGGGTCTCTGGTTGTTTCTGAGTTGGAAGGGTGACATTCTGAGAAGGTGAGGTGGGTTCAGAAGACAGAGAGAGTATCTCATCCCTCTGTTGGTTCAGTGAGTCGCTGGTACTGGACGGTCGGGTGAAGTCCACGGAGGAGCGCGGCCCCGAGTCTGAAGAGGCCGGTTTACTCCGCGGCATGGGGTTGGAGCCACCACCGCAACCTCCATCATACCCTGCTTCACCCGCATAACCCCCACCTCCCTCCCCACCTGTCCCGTACCCGGCCCCCAGTGCGTTGGTATAGTAGTTATCGTAGCTGTTCTGTCCCCTTTCGTAGATGTGCATGACGGTCTCAGTGATCTCCCTGCCATTACCATTGTTCTGAATCTGCATCACCTCTGCTACTCCAGAGGACCGGAGGGAGGAGTGGGAGCCGGTCCTGCTGGCCCTGCTGGCCCTGCTGGCCCCAGCCGAGCCACTCTTCCTGGGCTTGGGGACAGGTGGTATGGCGGGTAACCTGGAGCTGCTGCTGCTCTGCCGGACCACACAGTACCCCCCCGTGGTCTCCCCGTCTGCCGTGCGCTCTGTGTAGGAAAAAGTCCCCAGGCTGGTCTCCTGGACACCTGTCTCCGTCACCGTGGTTACACTTTCCACGGACGCCTGCTTCTTTTTCACCTGTCTCAGCCCAGGGGTCGGCATCCGCTTCTGACGGGGGTGGGCCTTCAGAGAACCAGCTCTGCCCCCACTGCCACTGTCGGTCCCTCCACCGTCCGTCACGCAGAAAGCCACGCCCCTCTCTGCATTGCGGCTGGGGTGGTTACTCTCCTTGGTCTCATCCTCGCTGAGACCAATGTTAGGGTCCTTCGCCTCCACGTTGTTGTCGGGTGACTGGGGGGTGGAGCCCGACTTGGCTCCTGGTTTATGATTGGCCACCACGCTGGAGCGGCTCAACGTGGTCGTCCAATGGATCATCTCCTCCTCCTTGATGGTCAGACGGACCTGCCAATCAGAATCAAATCAGAGGTGTGTTCCATAAATATAGAAATAATGGAAGTAATGATATAAATAATATTAGTAACAACAACACCATACTCAACAACAATAACAACAACAACAATAACAACAACACCATACTCAACAACAATAACAACAACAACAATAACAACAACAACACATACTCAACAACAATAACAACAACACCATACTCAACAACAATAACAACAACACCATACTCAACAACAATAACAACAACACCATACTCAACAACAATAACAACAACAACAACAATAACAACAACACCGTACTCAACAACAATAACAACAACACCATACTCAACAACAATACCATACTCAACAACAATAACAACAACACCATACTCAACAACAATAACAACAACAACACCATACTCAACAACAATAACAACAACAACACCATACTCAACAACAATAACTACAACAACATACTCAACATACTCAACAACAACAACAACATCCTCAACATACTCAACAACAACAACAACAACAACAGTACTAACCTTCATCTCGACGGTCATGCTGCCATCTTGGTTGACCCTGAAGGACTTCTCAATATCGTCGTCCTGCGGTACGATGGAGGTCTTCCCCGTGTCCTCTACAAGCTGATACGTGTCTGTCTCCATATCTACAGAGCCCCGGGTCTCTCTCTGGTTCAGCTCTGTCTCCATGCTCTCTGAGAGGCGGACCGGCTGGCCGTGGGAGCTACCGTTCACAGACTTGTTGATCTGGTTCACAAAGTATCTCTCTGATGACAGGCTGAAGTTCCTGGACCGCCGCCCACTGGAGAACGATGTCTTATTTTCTAAGAGATTAGAGTGTTGACGGGAGAGGGGGAGAGAAAGAAAGAGAGAAAGAGAGAAAGAGAGAAGAAGAAAGAAGAAGAAAGAAAGAAAGAAAAGAAAAAAGCAAGAAAAAGAAGAAAGAAGAAAGAAAGAAAAAGAAAGAAAGAGAAAGAGAAAAGAGAAGGAGGAAGCCCTCTCTCCTCTCCAAAGACTTCCCTTCCTCCCTCCCTCTCCCCTCCTCGTCCCTCCCTCTTCCCTTCTTCTTCTAAGATCCTCTCCCTAGTAAAATCAAAGAAAAAAAATATATTTAGTCAAAATACAATCAAACAATTTGATCTATGACTCAATCACCCTGATTAAGGTGTTAACCGTAACACGTTGGTGTTTATTTAAATAATGACTTAGCCCACAAAATAAAGGCTTTTTAACTTGTGCCTGGACCTGGATTGTTGTATGCCACTCAACACCCATTTGTTATAATTCTTCCTTTTGCTTTTTCAATTACTATTCCCCTCCAAGAGCACCTGTGGGTGTTTTGGAAGACCTGAAGCGCTCATGCTACATTTTTCTTCAATCAATCAGTAACTAATCAACCCAAAGCACTGCAAAGCTGACCACTCACCTGTTAGAGGCTTTGGCCTGGTTGCTTCTATAGAGTCTGAGTTAGAGGAGTGAGCAGCAGCGGGCTGGGCCGGTCTCAGGACGTCATAGTTCCCTGGTCTAAAGGGTTCATTCCCTGAAGCTACCACCACCCCAGAACACAGGATCAACGCTGGCAGACCTTCAACCTGGAAGACGAAGGAGGAGACCTCAGGTCGATGGAAATCATTTACAATATCTATCAGAATCAACAGTTTTTAGGTTTTATAATAACCCAATAAAGATGGCAGCGGTTTTGCGAGCATCGAACCAACTTTGCTATTTTGGGATTCTTTTGGCGTTTATTTTTACTTTATTTTCATGAAATGTATCCACTATCATTTCTTATAACCGACAAGAATGTTAAACATCAGATCGGCAGTTACTTACCTCAATTCCAGCTTCAACTTTGACTTCGACTCATCTGCCCTGGGCTCTTTCTGTAATTCAGACCCAATTCTGGGGGTATCCAAGAGGAAACGCCGACGTTAAAGAGGCAAGAGAGGGGAGTCCTTACGAGATTATAGCGAAGGGAAAACCAGCCACCTCTTCCCTCCATTCTACTGGCCAATCTTATTCCTCTTGATAATAAGATGGATGACATCCGATTGCGGATTTGCTACCAACGGGACTCTCGTATCTGCAATATTCTCAGCTTTTCTGAAACTTTGCTTTCGGACAAGATAGACCCCATGGCTATCCAACTCAATGGATTCTCCATTCACCGAGCGGACAGGACAGTGGAGTCAGGGAAATCGAGAGGAGGAGGGGTTTGCCTCTTCATCAACAAAAAATTGTTGCTGACTCGAGTGCAGTGGAAGTCTCGACCCATTGTTCACTCGTCTTGGAATACCTGATGGTCAAATGCTGACCCTTCTACCTCCCGAGGGAGTTGTCAGCTGTTATCGTGACTGTTGTATACATTCCACCTCAGGAAGAAAAATAACAAGCTGACACTTAACAAACTGTACGAGGAGTGGAGCGGGTCGAGAGCTTCAAGTTCCTCGGTGTCCAAATCACTAAGGACTTCAAATGATCCACACACACACACAGTCGTGAAGAAGGCGCGACAGCGCCTCTTCCCCCTCAGGAGGTTGAAAAGGATTGGCATGGGCCCTCAAATTCTCAAAAAGTTCTACAGCTGCACCATTGAGACCATCTTGACTGGCTGCATCACCGCTTGGTATGGCAATAGCACCGCCCTGGATCACATGGCGCTAGAGAGGGTGGTGTGGACCAATGGGGCCGAGCTCCCTGACCCCTGACCTATATCTTTCACTTGACACTTGTTTCTATCCATAAGGTCTGGAAAGCAGAGGCGACATAAAGGAGGAGATCCTTCTGACTGATCTGGAAAGCAGAGGAGACATAAAGGAGGAGATCCTTCTGACTGATCTGGAAAGCAGAGGAGACATAAAGGAGGAGATCCTTCTGACTGATCTGGAAAGCAGAGGAGACATAAAGGAGGAGATCCTTCTGACTGATCTGGAAAGCAGAGGAGACATAAAGGAGGAGATCCTTCTGACTGATCTGGAAAGCAGGGAGATAAGAGGAGACCTTGATGATCTGAAACAGGAGACTAAAGGAGATCCTTCTGACTGATCTGGAAAGCAGAGGAGACATAAAGGAGGAGATCCTTCTGACTGATCTGGAAAGCAGAGGAGACATAAAGGAGGAGATCCTTCTGACTGATCTGGAAAGCAGAGGAGACATAAAGGAGGAGATCCTTCTGACTTTGATAACTACTGTCCAATTTCAAAATGATCTTGCCTAGCCAAAGTTTTAGAATCACTGACTAACTTTCAGCTAATAACTTCTTTAACTTTGCACTGTAGTTCTTAATGTGCACCAATCCAGTTTTAGATCTGGACATAGCACAGTTTCAGCTGCTATACTTGTTTTAGATGATGTGTTGCTTGGATCATAAAAATCATTGTGCTGCCTTATTTATAGACCTTTCCAAGGCTGTTAGGGCTGGTGTGAGGTGTTACCCAGGTGTGGTGCAAGATAGACAGTAGACAGTAGGCAGAGATGGTGAAACAAGGATCTTTACTGGTGGTCCCAAAACCAAGATACAAAATAACGGACTTGTCACAAAAAAATAAAGGGGGAGCAAATTGGTCTCCAAAAACAGGCTGACAACAAACATACAAAATACTAACTATGACTGAAAACAACAATGAAACAGGGAGAACAGTTCTCAAGTACCTGTACATACGTCTCGTGATCAGACACTGATTAGTACTGTTTGGCATCGATAACTAGCAGAAAAAACAGAGCAAGGGAAACACAGGGAAGTGAGGGCATAAATTCACAGGTGAACAGGTAGACACAGGTGACACCAATAAGATAATGGTTAGTTCAGACTGTGAGTGAGGAGGTGCCTAAGGTTGTCGGAGGATGACACCTAGTGGGTCGCTCCGGAACTGTGACCCCCTCCTGTAACAGTGCCCCAGCCGTTCACCTCGGCGCCTCCGGGTGGAGGCGACGGAATGTTGTTATCAGCCCTGGGTCGGTCCAGAATGTCCCTCCTGGGCACCCAGGACCGCTCCTCCGGCCCATAACCCTCCCAGTACACCAGAAATTGGAGACCCCTCCCCACCTGCCGGCAGTCCAGGATCCGGTCCACAGTAAAAGCCGGCTGCCATCCTACGAGGCACAGCAGGGGGAACAGGACGAGGAGGGGAAGCCAGGGGACAGGTGGCGACGGGCTTGAGGAGGGACACATGGAACGTGAGATGCACCCGCATGGTGGGGGGAAGTTGCAGGCGGTAGGCCACTGGGTTGACTCGCCGGACCACTTTGAAAGGCCCGACGAACCGGGGAGACAGCTTCCTGGAGAGCCACACCCTCTGTCCCAGGTGCAGCAACACCGACTGATGTGGGCCTGGACCAACGGGACCGCTGCCTCCTCCTCTTGCTCGGGGAATAGGGGGTGTTGGTACCCGTATTGCCACTGGAAGGGAGACAGGCCGGTGGACGAGCAGAGAAGGGTGTTGTGGGCGTACTCCGCCCACACCAGTCGCTGACTCCACGTAGCTGGGTTGCTGGAGGCGTAGCACCTCAGCACCCCCTCCAGATCCTGGTTGACACGCTCCGTCTGCCCGTTCGACTGGGGATGGAAGCCGGAAGACAAGCTGATGGAGGCGCTGAGGCAGGTGGCAAATGCCTTCCAGAACCTGGAGGTGAACCTGGAGGTGAACTGAGGACCTCGATCCGACAACACATCTTGGAGAAGGCCGTGGACCCAGAAAACGTGCTGCACCACCAACTTAGCCGTCTCCCGGGCCGACGGGAGTTTGAGAAGGGGAATGAAGTGGACAGCCTTCAAAAACTGGTCCACAACGACCAGGATGACTGTGTATCCATCAGAGTGGGGTAGGGCGGAAATGAAATCCAGAGAGATGTGGGACCAGGGGCGCTTGGGGATAAGCAGATTTCAGAGCAGCCCTGCCGTGGGCTGACATGAGCTCTTCATGCGCGCGCACACCGGGCAAGCAGCCATGAAGGAGCGTGTATCCCCCTCAGCTGATGGCCACCAGAACCTCCTACGCAGGAACTCCAACATCCTGGCGCGACCCCCGGTTGGCTGGTGAGGTCGGACGCGTGCACACACTGAAGCAGTGCACAGCCTTGGGTACGTACATCCTCCCCGATGGACCTCCGTCCGGATCAGGCTCCCGCCGTAGAGCTGCTCTGACCAGCCTATCGATTCCCCACGCAACTGGGGCAGCAATCAGGGCATTGGGGACAATGGGGTCATCCCTCTCCACCAGGTCCATGGGGTCAAAATGCCGGGAGAACGCATCAGGCTTGGTGTTCTTCGACCCCAGACGGTATGAGATCGTGAACCGGAACTTGGTGAAGAACAACGCCCACCTGGCCTGGCGCGAGTTGAGCCTCTTGGTCCCCTGAATGTAGGCTAAGTTCTTACAGTCAGTTCATGTTGTATGGCCTGTGAGGAGGCCCTTGATACGCCTCTTACTAAACACCCTCCGCCAGATCCCAATACTCATGGGGAACGCCTGCCAGGTCTGGGCCGGTGACGGAGTCTGTAGCCACCGTCTAGGGCGGTAGGCGGTTCGGAGTGCAGGACCTGGGGAAGAGGTGAGGACTGGTAGGTGGTGTGGGATGGTGGTCGGTGGAGAACGGAACAGGATGGAGGCGGAGCCTCCCTCCAGGATGAGCCGCCCCGTGGACCAGTCTATCCGGGGTTTGTGGGCGACCAGCCAGGGGTGCCCAAGGACGAAGGGACACAATGAAAAACTGGATATCCTCCCATAGCCCCCCTGCCACCCGACACACGGGGACAGTGCTCCGGGTGATGAAGCCCGACCCCAACGGCCGGCCATCCAGGCCCATGACCGGAACCGGCTCGGAGAGGGAGAGTAACGGAATGTTCCACCCTTGGGCCAGCCCCGTGTCCATCAGGTTTCCCGAGTCTCTAGGGTTGGGGTTTCGGTTCCAGCTCGCTAGCACCCCTCCCGATATTAGCGAGCCCTCCCATTTCCCGGCTTCTCCGGGCATGAGTCGAAGTGGTAACCTGCCTGTACAGGCAACGTCCCTGGCACAGACATCTCTGCTTCTCCATCTTGGACAAGCGCACCTTGCGTCATCCCTCTCTCGTGCGCCCTCTCACAACGCCGATTGTCTACCCGCACCGAGAGGTCGACGAGGCCATCCAGTCGCTCAGGCAGCTCCCTGAAGGAGAGTTCGTCCTTCATCCCCTCTGATAGCCCCTGCGCGTAAAGGATGACCAGGGCATTCTCCTCCCATCCTGCCCCTCGAGCCTCCACGTAGTAGTCCGCCACCGAACGGTCACCGTGCCGACAGGCCGCGAGCCGCCTCCCGGACTCGTGCCCCGACACCACCCGAGAAGTGTCGAACACCTTGCGTAGCTCCCGGGTGAATTGGTAGGAGTCAGAGCACGCCAGAGTTTGGCTCTTCCACTACGCGGTAGCCCAGGAAAGGGCCCGACCCGTCAACAGAGTGATGATGTAGGCCACTGTTTTCTGTAAGGGTTGGTGTGAGGTGTGACCCAGGTGCGGTGCAGGATAGACAGTAGGCAGTAGGCGGCAGTAGGCAGAGATGGTGAAACAAGGATCTTTGCTGGTGGTCCCAAAACCAGGATACAAAATAACGGACTAACCCTAACCCCGAAACAGGCTGACAGCAAACATATGAAATACTAACTATGACTGAAAACAACAATGAAACAGAGAGAACAGGTCTCAAGTACCTGTACATACGTCTCGCGATCAGACACTGATTAGTACTGCTTGGCATAGTGAAACTAGCAGAGAAAACAGAGCAAGGGAACACAGGGAAATGAGGGCATAAATACACAGGTGAACAGGTAGACACAGGTGAACAGGTAGACACAGGTGAACAGGTAGACACAGGTGAACAGGTAGACACAGGCGACACCAATAGGATCATGATTAGTCCAGACTGTGAGTGAGGAGGTGCCTAAGGTTGTCGGAGGATGACACCTAGTGGGTCGCTCCGGAACTGCGACCCCCTCCTGTAACACAAGGCCTTCGATACCATTGACCATCACATTCTTATTCAAAGGATGACTGATATAGGCCTGGATCAGCCTTCTTCAAAAGTATATTACAGACAGGACACAATGTGTGATCTCTGATGGTGTTAAGTCTAGTTTCCTGGATATAAAGGTGTACCGCAGGGGTCGGTGCTGGGACCTGTTCTCTTTACTATTTATATAAATAATATTGGTCTATCTGTTCAAACTTGTCTTATTCATCTGTATGCAGACGATACTGTTATGTATGCCATTGTCCGAACTGTTGACCAGGCTATGTTACAGCTGACCTTGTTACCTTACAGAAAGCCCTGGTTGGTTTAAAACGTGTATTTAATGTCGGCAAGACTAAATACATGTTGTTCTCTAGTTCTCGCAAGAATGTTTCAGATGGACTACATATTTATTCATTGGATGGTTCTCCCATTGATTGGGTTCCCGCCTCAAATATCTGGGCATTTGGATTGACAAAGACTTATTGTTTAAAAAACATATGGATGAGCTATTTAAAAAGCAAAGATTTAAAGTGGGCTTATTTTTTTTAAATAGATCTTGCCTCTCCCTAAATAGCAGGAAGCAGATTGTACAGTCAACTTTCCTGCCAGTTCTTGACTATGGTGACACCATTTACCAGAATGCAGCAGCCACTACTCTTACACCTGTGGATGCCGTCTACCAGAGCACCCTTCGCTTTATCCCCGGTGACAGTTTCAATACTCACCACTGCATCCTGTATTAAAAGGTCCTCATTATAGTCGCGTAGATCAATTCATTACTCCCTTTTTGTTTACACAGCCCTACTACACAAGCTTTCAACTTACCTAACTTCATTGTTAAAGTATAAAAACAACATGAGATACCAAACCCGCTCACAGGGTTGGTTAACTCTTGAGGTATCATCGGGTCTCCACCGAATTAGGTAAATCCACTTTTAGTTTTAATGCACCTCATAGCTGGAACCAACTGCAAAACACACTGCAATCGGATGCTCTGATGTCGCTTGGGCAGTTTAAAATATAGGGAACTATTTGATGAGGAATGTGGCTGTTTTTCTAGATTGTTTGTTTGACTTAGATGTGATTTGATCTTGTGAATTGTTTGTGCTGGGCTCCCTGGTCTCAATGGTGACTCCCTGTAAATAAAGGTCAAATAGAAATCCAGGACCTCTATATCAGGCGGTGTGAAAGGAAAGCATGCCAAACCATAGACTGTTCTCTCTGCTTCCGCAAAGCAAGCGGTACCGATGCATCAAGTCTGACACCAACAGGCTCCTGAAGAGCTTCTACCCCCAACCCATAAGACTGCTAAATAGTTAACGGAATGGCTACATGACTATCTGAGTTGACCCTTGCAATTATTACTCTACACCCCCACAGGACTCTACACACTCACAGGACTCTACACCCCCACAGGACTCTACACACTCACAGGACTCTACACACTCACAGGATTCTACACACTCACAGGACTCTACACCCTCACAGGACTCTACACACTCACAGGACTCTACACACTCACAGGATTCTACACCCTCACAGGACTCTACACACTCACAGGATTCTACACCCTCACAGGATTCTACACACTCACAGGACTCTACACACCCACAGGTCTCTACACCCTCACAGGATTCTACACACTCACAGGACTCTACACACTCACAGGACTCTACACACTCACAGGACTCTACACACTCACAGGACTCTACACACTCACAGGACTCTACACACTCACAGGTCTCTACACCCTCACAGGATTCTACACCCTCACAGGACTCTACACACTCACAGGACTCTACACACTCACAGGACTCTACACACTCCACACACACTCACTTAACTTGCTCAAACACACACATTTATACTGACTCTACACACACGCACACACACTCACATACAATAATTATATATGCTGCTGCTACTCTGTTTATCATATATCCTGATGCCTAGTCACCTTACCCCTATACATATCTACCTCCATCACTCCAGTATCCCTGCACGTTATAAATATGGTATTGGAACTGACCCAGTATATAGTCACCTTACCCCTATACATACAGTGCAATCAGAAAGTATTCAGACCCCTTCCATTTTTCCACATTTTGTTACGTTACAGCCTTATTCTAAAATGGATGAAATAAATATAAAGAGCTCAGGATTGTGTGGAGGCAGAGATCTGGGGAAGGAACCAAACAATGTCTGTCCCCAAGAACACAGTGGACTACATCATTCTTAAATGGAAGAAGTTTGAAACCACCAAAACTCTTCGTAGAGCTGGCTGCCCGGCCAAACTGAGCAATCGGGGGAGAAGGGCTTTGGGCAGGGAGGTGACCAAGAACCCGATGGTCACTCTGAAAGAGCTCCAGAGTTCCTCTGTGGAGATGGGAGAAACTTCCAGAAGGACAACCATCTCTGCAACACTCCACCAATCAGGCCTTTTTGGCCAGACGGAAGCCACTCCTCAGTAAAAGGCACATGACAATCCGCTTGGAGTTTGCCAAAAGACACCTAAAGGACTCTCAGACTATGAGAAACAAGATTCTCTGGTCTGATGAAACCAAGATTGAACTTTTTGGCCTGAATGCTAAGCGTCATGTCTGGAGGAAACCTGGCACCATCACTACGGTGAAGCATGGTGGTGGCAGCATCACGCGGTGGGGATGTTTTTCAGCGGCAGGGACTGGGAGAGTAGTCAGGATCGAGGGAAAGATGAACGGAGCAAAGTACAGAGAGATCCTTGATGAAAACCTGCTCCAGAGTGCTCAGGACCTCAGACTGGGGCAAAGGTTCACCTTCCAACAGGACAATGACCCTAAGCACATAGCCAAGACAACGCAGGAGTGGCTTCGGGACAAGTCTCTGAATGTCCTTGAGTGGACCAGCCAGAGCCCAGACATGAACCAATCAATCAATCAATCAATTTTATTTTATATAGCCCTTCTTACATCAGCTAATATCTCAAAGTGCTGTACAGAAACCCAGCCTAAAACCCCAAACAGCTAGTAATGCAGGTGTAGAAGCACGGTGGCTAGGAAAAACTCCCTAGAAAGGCGAAAACCTAGGAAGAAACCTAGAGAGGAACCAGGCTATGAGGGGTGGCCAGTCCTCTTCTGGCTGTGCCGGGTGAAGATTATAACAGAACCATGCCAAGATGTTCAAAAATGTTCATAAGTGACAAGCATGGTCAAATAATAATCAGGAATAAATCTCAGTTGGCTTTTCATAGCCGATCATTAAGAGTTGAAAACAGCAGGTCTGGGACAGGTAGGGGTTCCATAACCGCAGGCAGAACAGTTGAAACTGGAATAGCAGCAAGGCCAGGCGGACTGGGGACAGCAAGGAGTCACCACGGCCGGTAGTCCCCGACGTATGGTCCTAGGGCTCAGGTCTCTCAGTTGGCTTTTCATAGCCGATCATTAAGAGTTGAAAACAGCAGGTCTGGGACAGGTAGGGGTTTCGTAACCGCAGGCAGAACAGTTGAAACTGGAATAGCAGCAAGGCCAGGCGGACTGGGGACAGCAAGGTGTCATCATGCCCGGTAGTCCTGACGTATGGTCCTAGGGCTCAGGTTCTCAGAGAGAAAGAGAGAACGAGAGAATTAGAGAGAGCATACTTAAATTCACACAGGACACTGGATAAGACAGGAGAAGTACTCCAGGTATAACCAACTAACCCCAGCCCCCCGACACATAAACTACTGCAGCATAAATACTGGAGGCTGAGACAGGAGCGGTCCGGAGACACTGTGGCCCCATCCGAAGAAACCCCCGGACAGGGCCAAACAGGAAGGATATAACCCCACCCACTCTGCCAAAGCACAGCCCCCGCACCACTAGAGGGATATCCTCAACCACCAACTTACAATCCTGAGACAAGGCCGAGTATAGCCCACAGAGGTCTCCACCACAGCACAAACCAAGGGGGGGCGCCAACCCAGACAGGAAGATCACGTCAGTAACTCAACCCACTCAAGTGACGCACCCCTCCCAGGGACGGCATGAAAGAGCACCAGCAGGTGCGATCAAACATCTCTGGAGAGACCTGAAAATAGCTGTGCGTCGACGCTCCCCATCCAACCTGACAGAGCTTGAGAGGATCTGCAGAGAAACTCCCTAAATACAGGTGTGTCAAGCTTGTAGTGTCATACCCAAGAAGATTTGAGGCTGTTATCGATGCCAAAGGTGATTCAACAAAGTACTGAGTAAAGGGTCTGAATACCTATGTAAATGTGATATTTCAGTTTTAATCTTTTTAGACATTTGCAAAAATGTCTTAAAACCTTTTTTCCTTTGTCATTATGAGGTATTGT